GGGAGGGTTTGCAGTCTGGAGTGTCATCAGTCTGGAGTGTGGGAGTCATTCTAGTCATCAGTCTAAAAAGAGAGAGTATTCTAGATACTTATTTCTGGAGTATGGGGATGTTCTAAAGACATCAGTCTGGAGTGTGGGAGTGTTCTAAAGACATCAGTCTGGAGTGTGGGAGCATTCTCAACTACATCAGTCTGGAGTGTGGGAGTGTTCTAAACTACATCAGTCTAGAGTGTGGGAATGTTCTACAGCCATCAGTCTAGAGAGTGAGAGCATTACAGATAATTTAGAGTGAGAGTGCACTAAAGACACCAACCTGGAGTGTGGGAGTATGCTAACCACTTTTGTTTGGAGTGTGGAAGTGTTCTAAAGCCTCAGTGTGGAAAGTGAGAGTATTCTAGATACTTTAATCTGGAGTGGGGGAATATTATCAAAAGCCATCTAGAAAGCAAAACCAGTCTAGATACTTTATTCTGGAGTGTAGGAGTGTTGTAAAGATAGAGATCACAGGAGTTTACTAAAGACATCATTCTACAGTGTGAGAGGGTTCTACAGCCATCAGCTTAGAAGGAGATAGTATTCCATATACTTTAATCTGGAGTGTGGGAATGTTCTAAAGAAAACATTCTGGAGTGTGGGAGTGTTCTAAAGTCATCAGTGTAGAAAACAAGAGTATTCTAGACACCTTAGTCTGGAGTGTGGGAATGTTCTAAAGACATCAGTCTGGAAAACGAGAGTATTCTAGATACTTTAGACTGGAGTGTGGGAATATTCTAAAGAAATCAGTCAGGAGTGTGGGAGTATTCAAAAGGCATTAGTCAGTGCTGTTAGCGTGCTCTAAAGCCGTAAATCAGGAGTCTGTGAGTGTTTTAGAGGCATCAATTTGGAATGTTTTGAAGATATCAATCTGGAGTGTGGTATTTTTTTTAACCCATCAATCAAGACTGGGAATGTATAAATGTCATCTTTCCGGAGACTGGATGCATTATGAAACCATCCGTCTGGAGTATGGAAATGTTCTAGAGACATCGGTCTGGAGTTTGAAAGTGTTCTAAGGACAACAGTCTGGAGTGTGGCAATGTTGTAAAGACATCAGTCAGGCATGTATAGGAGACTTTAGCTGTCATTGATGTTGGGGGTGCAGGGCTCAGCACCTTTCTTCTGATAGGCACAGAGGTGCAAAACACCTAGGGACAGTAATGAGAATAATTAATAATCATTGAAATGGAGGAAAGAGTATTTCAGTGTAGGAAGGCAACAGAAGACTGAGAATGAACACAGATAGTCAGACAAACTAAGATACATAAAATTAGAAATCCAGGCTGTTGTTTGCAGAACAAAGGATTGACAGACTGACATACACATGCAGAAAACACACAGATGGACTGACTCACATGCACTGTAACACAGACCGAGACAGACTGAAACACAGGGACAGAGACAGCGGGACAGGAAGAGACATGTTGTTTACCGGCTGCAAAGGCAAGGAGGATGGCCACCCAGCCTAATATGTAGGACCAGGAGAAGCGCCAGTCCAGGTACCGCTTCCCAAAGAAATGGACTGTGACCCCAGTGTAGATAGACAGAGCCAGCAGAGCCAGGAAAGCTGGGGTAGAGAGAGGAAGAGGTAGAGAGGATGAGTGTGATAGAGAAGGAGGAATGGGCAAGGGGACAGTGGAGAGGGTGCAGAGGTAAAGGTGGGAGAGAACATGAGAAAAATGGAGGGAGGGTGAGAGTAGTCTGAGTAAAAAAAAGACAAATGTCAGTACAGGCGAAGGGAAAGACAAAAGTCTTTTCCTGTCAGAAATCTGTCTGCATTTAATGGAGACAAAGCACGAGGCCCCCTGCTTTTCTTGTACTTCTCTCTTTGTGCTGTGCTCCTGTCCTGCCTCTCTGCCCTGCCTGCTATGGTCAATTCTTTTCTAAAAGCCCCAGCCCTCAGACTCTCTTCCACTTCCTCATTCCCACCCTCCTTTCCTGCTCCCTTCCCCTCTCAGCCCCTCGGTTCTGGGCTCTTCCTGCTGCGTCCTGTGCCCTCTCCCCCCTCACCTGACAGCAGCAGGGCGATGCCCCCGATGCGGATGCGTCTGCTCTTGGCTCCATTAGTAAAGGCGCTGAGACCAAGTACAATGCCCGCAAAGCAGCTCAGCACAGCTAGCAGCATGAATGCCCGGGTTGCGTCCCAGAAGGCTTTAAAGGGAGACAGACAGAATTCAATCTTCACCAGCCAATCAAGAATATACTTACTGCACAGGTAAGTTGTCCTAGGATATGTGGACTTTCGCTAACTCGAGCTTTCAGATCTTTCATTTAACTTATGTGTGTTACCTGTCTAATTCGTTGACTGTTAACTTATAATACAGTGATCACTAATGATAAAGAATAAGCAGGTATTTACAGCACAGTAAATTCCCCATAATAACTCCTGCATCACAGTTAATAGACTGCTGAACTGACAGACATATGGACAGCTCTCTCCCTTGACTCACCCACTGAAATGGTGTGGGAGTGGCATTTCCGATTTATGCAGAACCTCCAAAGGCCCTGATTGGCTGCGCTTCCAGAGTACCGGTATTGCATCCAGAAGTCTGTTGCTGTGGAAACGATGAGCAGTACCAGGGCAGCTACACCACAGAGTGTGCCCCCGCCTGCCAAAGTGTACAGCATCAAGGTGCAGCGTGGGATAGCACAGTCCTCCCGTTCTCACTGCAACTCACACAGAGAGAGTGTCTATGAGACAGGCAAGATGGACAGGAGCTTTAACAAAACATCAACACAAACCACAACCACAAAAGTAATCAGGTTGATTTAAAACTTTTTTTCTTTTACAAATTTTTATTTTTAGTTTTTCTTTTTATTTTCTATAAGAATGCAAAGGGAATTGTAGGGAGAATGCTCATGGAGCCAGGACATGAGTTAGGAAGGAAAGCGGAGGAGCACAGGAGTGAAAAGGAGATATAGGGAGTCATGCAGAAATTCAGAATCTCATTCCTACATTCCTATGATCCTATTGATTTATTGACAGCCCCACCTGGGAGGAAGAGTCAGGCTTCCTTGCAGGAGAAAGGTGCTCCCAGAAAATTAACAACAGTCAAGTCCATCTGCTGGGTGTGAGCTCTCTTCAGCTGATTTAAACACATGTTTAATACTCTGGATGAGACCGTAAGCTATAGGACCTAGTCAGGGCATCAGGTAATTGGTACGTTGGCTTGGTAGCCACCTGGTACACAGACACCTGCTCCTCTGATTCTGATCATTCTAGTGTTCACTTGTTTTTCATTTTGTGTTTCTGACCCATCTTGGGATAGCAGGAACATTGAAAATGACTGGTTCTTCACCATTTCCCCTACCCCAATGCCCTGTTGTTCAAAAGCATCTGCAAGAACTAAGATGGCTGCCCTGTGGAAATCACAAGGGATCAGCATCTACAGCCAGTAAAAATGAGACATGGGCTTATCTCTCGGATAAGGATCTTTCCCAGGACAGTCCAGATCCATTGTCAACACCCCTTAAAGATGGATGTCCACTGCTTGTGCCAGGTTGTCTGGCAGTGGGATAGGCACATCTGGAGATAATCCCAAAAGTCACAGGAAAAGGTCACTCATCCAGCAAGATGACCAATCAATTAGGTTGACTGCAGGATGTGGGTAGCTTCATGATTAATCACCACTTTTTCCCCAGTTAAGAATCAGTGCATCACCCCTAACTGCGTCCCCCTCTCTCTGCAGATTCTACTTGACTCACCGACAGGAGGACCACGTGCCAGCTGCACCTGCTGTCAAAACGTTGGGATTTAAACTTTTTCCCGAAGCGCAGCATGTAAAACCAGAATTCTGCCCGAGGTCTAGCCTGCAGCAGGACCGTGCGCCCGCTTGATCGCCGGAGCAATATGGTCGGACTTTTCCGTTGACACGCCTGAATAGAGCATTATTGAGCAGCAGCGAGCAGCCGCTCCGCCGGGAGCAAACCGAGTTTCTCCCCTTTTACTGTGACTCGCCCCGACTCGACCCGACTGAGCAGTGATGTGCACAGACTTTGTCCCAGTTCATCTCAGCGCTAACCCGCACAATCCATATGAGGGAATCGACTGTCAGCGCGATTCTAGAGCAGCTCCCCCTTTCCAGAACTGCCTGGATTAGTACTGGATTGGCGCTGAGCCAAAAAGCACAGTTTGAACGGCGCTGCGACGGACCCAGTCAGCTGTTATCCATCCTTCTGCACGAATTAACATTCCATGTGGATGAATATAAGTGAATATTCACCCTCTCGAGAATAAAATGGTTATATGAATGTGTTAATATCAATTAAATCAATGTACAGTAAGTAGCTGTAGCTACTTAAGAGCGCCTGAATGTTGATTATGTTAGTGAGATTGATAAGAAATTTAGTGTAATCAACGTTATACTGTACTAAACGTAGTATCCTTGTTTTAATGTACCTCTTCGCTTTCACCTTGATATTATGAATACTTTTAAGCACACATTGTTTTTATGTATTGATAAATGTATTCCGTGAGTTGTTCAACCTTATGAAGACTCCTTGTTCTGCCGATTGATTCCTAACAGCCAAATTAAACTCGCGCGATTTACTGTTACAACTAAATATTGTGCCAGTACATTCACAAATTCCCTAGAGCTCACGGATAACTGTGATGGGTGTGCATTCAAGCCTTCGGATATCTAGACATGGTGTTGGTGAACACAGGGGGGAAAAAAAGTTTAAAATCCTTATATTATGAAAAGGGAGTCTGGAATGCAAAGTGATTACAGCTCATCAATGTTTAACTTTTGTTTTTTTCAGATGGAAGTGAGTGTGATGATCCAGCATGACTCTTAAAATCACCACTCCTTACAGCGATTCCTACAAACACCCTGGCCCGGCAGGACATAAGCATTGAAGAGGCGCACAGAATACATGCTAGGGGCCAAGACAGGACCTGAAGAATTGCCGGGAGAGACTCAGCAACCCTGCATTGGATAAAGTGGTTAGGAAATGGATGGACTGTCAGGCAGCTCCCCTGAAAGAAACAGTCAAGCTAGTCCCTGCTTGCAACGGACAGACAAACTAAAAGAACTGAACCTCTGTAGCCTAGGGATAATGGAACAGGTGTACTCCTATTCAGAATCTTGAGTGGTGTTGCCAAATGGACCAATAGCACCACTTTCAAGTCATTAATGAAACAAGGATTCGAGATACTGAAAATAAGAGAAGGAATATTTAACATTGAGAACAGCTACTGTAGAACTTTTCTAAACAGAGCCTTGACCAAACTAGGGCAAGCCACAGAGCCATGCTATTGAAGCTCAGGGCTGAATCAACAAGCTTGGAAAAAGAAGAGCTTCTCTAATGACTCAGAGACACGTGTTGGTCAATAGTGACTTTCACTAGTTTGGAAAATGCTTAAGGTTTTAAACACCACTGAGTCCACTAATTGTGGTAACTTTAAGTGCCTGAATCCAAAGCAGTTACTACGGTCACTTCAAGGTCTGAACCAATGAAGGAAGGAATTAAGTTGTCACAGGTTTGTGTCTCAAACCTCTCCTCTGTTGGCATCTCCAGCTGCTAGAATTGCACTGGAATTGTGAAAAGACAGACAGACAAGCACACAGAATGTAATGGGCATACCTTTTCGCCTCTCTTTGATCGCCGTCTTGCACCACAGTCGTTATCAGCCAGCCTGCCCAGCTCTATCTATCCTTTTTAAGCCCTGGATCGGGGGCCTTCATTGTTCTGCCGACAATAGTGGGAATGATCGAGCGCACCATGTGAGAGAAGATAATCCCTCTCTTCGCTCCTCTGGTGCTGTCACACCCCCTTCGCCCAGCTTTTCTTCCCTTTTCCATGCCCTCTCTTCCCCTGCAGTCTCGGACAGTTTTCTCCCATCTTGCGCTGCCGGGAGGGGGGTCTCTCTCTGCACAGCGTGGCTCCCTCTCTCCTGCGCCCCCCTTTCTTCATGTCCTCGGGCTCCCATTTCCCTCGTCCGCCTCTCAGCCCTGCGCTGGGAGAAACTCGCTGATCAGCCCTGGCATCGCTCGACATCATGGGACTGGCGCTTTTGTGTGAAAGGGCACAACCCCGGGGCGATCACATCAACACCACAGCATTGAGATAATTGCAGCACCTGCCATTCCTGCACCCTGCCTGCGGCCTAACCCCTTGCTTTCTGTCAGCAATTTCATGACATGACCATTAACAGCCAGCGATCTTTGTACTGCATATTGTGAAGTCATGATGATGACTAAACAGGCTTCGGTGTAGTGGAGACTCACGGCGATTGTGACCATTTTTAATGTTTTTTTTTTTTTAAACCTTGCATTTGAAAGGGGTTTCAAAATCATCTTCCTGAGATCCACTGCAACTGATGGAATTGAGACATGGTCCACAATTTCACCAGCAAAACAAGTTGCTGCAATCATTTTTACACCCACTCCTTAAAAAGCTCCTTAAAAATGTAAGGCCAATCACTTCCAGCCTTGATAGATCTAATTCTAGCATCAAAAGAGCTTCTATATAAACATAGATGGACACAATTTCTTTTTGTTGTTGACAGGCGTCCCAGAACACGAAGTCTTGCTGTTCATAACCTGATTACTAACTCCAGACTTAGTAAGAATCACTTGTGAGCACTCCATTAATAAATGGCGGAATTCTGTACAGCAAAAATGGGACTTTTGCATGCAGCTAGATTCAAACAACTGCCTTCAAACAACAAGCTGAAGTGGAACTTGACAGGTTTCATCTGTACTCAAAATATGCTTCAAGACTTGCAGCTTACAGGATACAACTAACTCTTTTCAAAGTCTTTCCAGGCCATTAAGAAACACATCCCCTAATACAAACTGCTGAAAATACAGTGAAATGATTGTATAGGCTCCTATGCAAACCATGACAGCCACAGACCACCACTGGTCATTTGTGCTGTTGTATCTGCAAAGTTCAGACCTATAGCTGATCCCTGTGTAAAATGACAGGTACCAACCAAGTGCCTTCTATTTGACATGTGACAATAATATTGCTGTCCAATACACATCACCTACCATCTACCAAGATAATGGACTGAGCTGCATTGTTGAAAAGCCTTTTTTAAATTCAACTTTTTCGGAAACTGATTGACTTGAAACTTGACAAATATCAGCAGCTTCCCCACATGCTTCACTCCAGCTCAACATCAGACTCTCTGACGTTGATACCAAAATGTTGGCATTGCTCCTGTTCAAATCCAGAATAGCCAATTGAACTAAAAATTGATCTTTATCACCTTGTGGTCACTTTAAATTGTTCCGAAAGGGTATCTCTGCATAAACCAAAAAGGCAGACAAGTCTTAAGAATTAAGAATCCCTTTGTTAAATAACACAGTGAACTCCAGCTTTTCCAACCCTCATCTGAGCACCATGGGGTTCAAATTTTCTAAATTGGTGTTGCATTTTAAGAACTGACAACATGGAAATTGATCAGATTAGGTTATCCTAGAACTGTTGCTTAACTCCAAATCCAGGCCAAGGTGTAACCCCATCATCCTTTCCCCCTGGCCTTTACCAATCATGGCCTCCTAATAATCCCCATCTATGAACTGGCTTCCTCCCTACTGTCCTCCTCCCTTTACAATTTTTTATATGTGTGGAAAAATTCTGTTTCTGTAATCTTCACCTCCCATGATTACTCATACTGATGTCTTCTGTGATAGTATCATGAGCATTTCAGTATTAATTTCATGAATCACTGCTTCCCTCTTGTGGTTGTCATTAAATTGAAACAAAGCAGGTTCTCTAAAATACAATAAGTGTTTTTCTATCCTTGTAACCCTGTAGTTCATTGGAAATTATCTCATATTCAATTAAGCTTATTGAAAACGTGAACAACTTGGTTGATTTTTAACTGTTTTCTTTACTCAGAGCTTAGTAGTCATCTACTAAAGCATCTTGTTTGTGTGTGTCATAATAAGTAGAACTATCATAGCGCGTATATCATAGCCAGCAGCTACAGTATATCACCCTGCAACTCACAACTGACAACCCATTGAAGCTAAGCAGGTGTAAGCCTGGTCAGTACCTGGATGGGAGACCTCCTGGGAAAAACTAAGGTTGCTGCTGGAAGAGATGTCAGTGGAGCCTGCAGGGGGTGCTCACCCTGTGGTCCTTGTGGGTCCTAATGCCCACAAGGACAGGTACTGTCCTTCAGATGAGATGTAAAACCAAGGTCCTGACTCTCTGTGGTCATTAAAAACCCCAGGGTGTAGCCCCAGTGTCCTGGTCAAATTTCCCATTGCCCCTTACCAATCATGGCCTCCTAATAATCCCCCTTTATGAATTGGCTTCATCACCCTGCTCTCCTGCATTTTGAGTGTTCTGGTGCACTATGAGCCTGCTGCTGTTGCATCATCCAGGTGGGGCTGTACATTGGTGGTGGTGGAGGGGAGTCCCCATTACCTGTAAAGTGCTTTGAGTGGAGTGTCCAGAAAAGTGCTATATAACTGTAATCAATTTTTATTATCTGTTTCAACTTGTTTTAAAATTGTTGTTTCACTAAAGCTTTTTAAACAACTCTTAATATTTGTCAATTAATGATGTGCAGATACTGATGGAAAGGACCCTGCCAAACATCTTGTTCTTAGTGCTTCAAGCTCCCATTCAAGGAATTAGCCAAAGAAACTGTTAAGCCGTACAGTATGTCTAACGCCTAGCCGAAAATTCTTTTTTTTTAAAGTTCATCGGCAGTCTTTTGATGACGACAACATGAGTGACGCAGAATAGAGGCGCAGTAAGTGCACGTGTTGTTTTCCTTCGGTGGTGGATTGTCGGATGAGAGCTTGTTGGAGTTAGTAGAAATTTCGGACTAGAATATATTTATTTGTCTCTTTAACGCCCCTTTACCGGTGGAGCAATGGGAAAGAAACTTAAAGTCGGAAAGACCAGGAAAGATAAATTCTACCACTTGGCTAAAGAGACGGGTGAGTATGTTTCTGTCTTGTCGGTGGAGGCCGGGAAGACGTGTTTGGCCTCTTTAAGACGGGGTTGTCAGGAGAAGTCGGCTGGTCTGTAATGTATCATGCGAACCGGGCTCTTCTTTAAAATGCCCATCGAATGGCCGTACATTGCGTTTTCATATATTAAAACAGAATATAGCATAACCACTGTCTACAAATAACGCACTATCTTCCTAATGCTTAGGAAGCTGTTCTGAAATTCTACAGACACCTAAAATAAACAGTTTTCTGTGATCCAGCAGTCTCCGGGAACTATCCGTGCTCCAAATCATTAGTATCAGTCTTACTGGGATTAAGGGCTCATTTGCCTAGGGTTTGATTTTGGGATCATTTAGCTAAGGCGACGAGAGCTGCTGTCTCGCAGGTAAACAGAGATTAGACTGCGTCGCATGCTGTTCTGATGATCTGTCCATGCTGCTGCTGTGTCTGTGTCTGTGTCTGTGTCGTGTGCCCCGTCGGTGTTCCCTCAGAGTCTTAGGCTGTGCTGTTACTTCCAGGTTACCGCTCTCGCTCCTCTTTCAAGCTCATCCAGCTGAACCGCAAGTTCCAGTTCCTGCAGAAAGCTCGGGCGCTGCTGGACCTGTGTGCCGCGCCGGGCGGCTGGTGAGTGTAGCGTGGAACTGGCTCACTTGTGCGCTTAAATGTTCATGGGGGCGAAGATAGGTGCCCCCTTGAACTTGGGGGGGGGGTCATTTGCTTGTGGTCGCTGAAAATAGTAACGGCATAATTGCAACCCTAGGACAAGGAGCATAAGGCCACAGAAATGAGGCAGTAATGTGAATATATTACGAACTAAATGCTCTTGTGCAACATGACAAACCCATGTGCATTTACACAGCAGCTCAGACTTCAGCTTCAGTGTGCCAGGGAGTAGGGAAGTGTGCAGTACCTCTCTAACCTGTCCCATAAAACAAGCCTACACTCGGAGTTTCCTGCTTCAGCTTCTTCACGTGCTGTGTGTGAGGAGATATTGGTGAAGTGGTTGCCTAGTTACATGTCTATTATACATGAGAAATTTCACTGTATACATTTCTGATGGTGTGGTAATCTCCCAATGAAAAATGTGCTAATTAGTAAAGTGCAGTAAGGGGGTATGTGAAATTCACTTTCACAGTTTGCACTTTTAAGACATTAATTCTGAAGTAAGTTTAGGGTACTGTACTTGTATTTAGTGTGATGTTATTAATTGCCTGTAGTCCCTGGAGCAATGCCCAGTGTTGCTTCCCTTCAGCAGTGATAGTTATCCCTGTGTTCCTGCAGGGTTTATGGGTGATTTATAATCCTCAGTGAGTGAAGACATGGAAACAGCAGTAATTATAGGCTGGTTGAGTGGACTACTGATTATAATGAAGTCATTTAGTGTCCAAGATGGAATGCAGTAGGATTTGCAAATGCATTGCATTATGTGTCTGTGGCGTTGCGTTTTTCTGCTTCTCTCATCTTGTTTCTCTCTGTAGGCTGCAGGTGGCGTCCAAATTCATGCCAGTGTCCAGCCTCATTATTGGTGAGTTCAGCTCTGTTTCTGTGTCTACAAGTGTGGTTTATATGTGTGTTTCTATTCAACAGGATTCATATGCTACCTGCATTTTAACATAATCCAGTCCTGGGATATACTAGAAAAACTGGCATGGTATTATTGGGTCATTGAATGTCATCCATTTTTATTAACTTGTTCCACATTGTACAAGTGTGCGTGTATGACCTCACGTGAGTCACACTGTTTCTGGTTTTCAGTTGGCTCAAAGCCCTGTTACTCAAACATATTCTTGTGCAGGTTGTACTTTATAGCTTTTGTAAAATTTGGGGAAAAAAGGCATCTCACATTTTCTTACAGAATGGAGACTTAATATAACATATAACTTAAGCACTTATCATGTTCAGTTAAGAGAACTGTGATCTTTATGGGTTGAGAGGTACTAGGATTGGTCCCAAATAATCTATAATTTAAACTACCAACTCACTTGATCACATTGCTCTGAGTGTTCAGAGATTGACAATTTAATGGTGATCTATAAAACCTGCTGCATTGGGGCTTTGCAGGACCAGCGCTGGAGAGTCCTGTGTTAATTATTGCTGTAAGCTCATGCACAGCAGCATATGCTGTAGGGCTAATGATCTGTGGAAGAACCACTGTGAGTGTGTCTCCTCCTCTGCCTGACATACTCTTTTCTCTGCTTCTCTTCCTCTCTGCCTCTTGCACTCCAGGTGTGGACTTGGTGCCCATTAAGCCCATCCCCAACGTGGTCACTCTGCAAGAGGATATCACCACTGAGAAATGCCGGCAGGTAGGGAGAGCTTAAAAGAAGTGAAACCCAATGTGACATGACCCTGTGATGTCCGCTGTGCCAGAGGGTGTGTTGGCTAATAAATTCATTCGTAGTTAAGCAAGTGACTGGGGTGTGGTTCGTGCAGTTAGTCCATCAGCTGTGTCGAGAAAGGCCTTTTAAATCTGGAAACTAGCCCAGCGAGGGAGAGAATTTATCTGCCCTGTGGGGGTGTTGGTAGTGTCGTTAATAAAATACTGGCATGCTTGGAATGTTAAATCCCTGAAATTAAAGTTTTAGAAAGTGAGGTGTCCCAACACATGACATTGAACTAGGATTGACAAGAGAGTGCACTTATACCACATTTTACTTAGTCAGATTTTCAGCCTTTTAAGGTATTGATATCAGGCTGTTAACACAGTAGAACTGCTATTTTTTTTAGCTTACTACATTGCTAACAGCCTAGTCACCCAAGAACCATATATTAGGATCTATTTTACATAACAGAGAAAAACATCTCCTGGCAGGGTTTTGAGGTCCATTAGCAGACTCGATCTGTAGATCTTAGCCATTATGTTGTATGGTGAGATTAATATTAAATAAGAATAACTGTTTAACTGGGGAGGTCAGTTGAGAACAAAGTCCAATAAAGACCCAGCCAAGAGGCTCCCAGAAGACAAAGTGACAGAAAGAAAAGAAAGATCAAGATGTGGCCTTAACAAGTGCAGGTGTCAGGCAGGAGAGATTCAGTCCTGCAGAGAAGAAGCTCTAGGGTGTGGCAACCTACTCTCACTGACATCAGGTGGCTCAGCAAGAGTGCTTTCTTGTCAGCCTTTGTTCGGCACCTTTATGCATTTAAACCTTTATGCTGAAGTAAGGAAAATAAACATAATGTGAACATCTGCGTCATCTCCTGAGAACCCAGGGCGGGGATCCCTGGGGGTTTCCCCTGGCTGCAAGGCTGTCTTCCTCACTGCGGTGTGTCTGCCTGCTAGGCTATCAGGAAGGAGCTCCAGACCTGGAAGGTGGATGTGGTTCTGAACGATGGAGCCCCCAACGTGGGAGCCAACTGGCAACATGATGCCTACTCACAAGGTCAGCGGACTGGCATCGGCACTATTGCTTCTCCGAACACCAGACAAACACACCTGACGCACAGAGACTCGCACCAAAACAGGTGCACAAGCAGACTTGGCATAAAGCTGTCTGTAGAACCAGCATACATGCACACTGTCTTCTTAAGTAATGATAATAAAAAACTTTATTTTATATAGGGCCTTTAAAGGTGGCTTCACAAAGCACTTTACAGAATGACAACAACAATAAATTTAAAGAATACACAAGATAAAACACAATTACAATATACAGAGGAGACCATAGATGGTGGTACTAAGAACATAGAAGCAGAGGGGTAAAAACTGGAACCAGTTAAGTAAAGGCTCTTCTAAAGAAGAAGGTTTTGAGTCTGGATTTGAAGGAGTTTAGAGAAGGTGACTCTCTGATATCCTTGGGCCACTGTGCCACTGTTGCCTTCCCTCTCTGTGACCACCCGATTGTACTCAGGTGTAACTTAGATTTCTCGCTCGCTGTCTTTCCTGCAATCCGTCACTCCCTTCGGTCTTCTGCCCCCGACCTCCCTGACTGACTCGCTCCCCCTCCCCCCCCCAGCCCACCTGACCCTCATGGCTCTGAAGCTGGCGTGTGAGTTCCTGACCAAGGGAGGCTGCTTCATCACGAAGGTGTTCCGTTCCCGGGACTACCAGCCGCTGCTCTGGATTTTCCAGCAGTTCTTCCGGCGCGTGCAGGCCACCAAGCCGCAGGCCTCACGAAACGAGTCCGCCGAGATCTTCGTCGTCTGCCAGGGTACGATCCGCCTCCGGACCCCACGGGCGCCTGGCCTCTCCCGGGGTCTTCCCTGCCGGACGGCTGTCAGTCCCTTCTGTCTGATTGTTCGAACTCCATCAGGTTTTGATATCGGTGGTCAGTCTGTTTTGGTAAAAGCATCATGATATTTGTGCCCTGCCATGGACTGGCATCCCGCCCAGGGTGTATCCCGCAGGACTCAGACATTCAAACCTGGTCTAATTTGTGGGCCTAATGCTGGAACCATGTCAGTAACAAATCCTGTATTCATAATTTTATTAAAAGTACTATACAGTGTGCATTTTTTTTACCAGTTTATCCCATGAAGCTAATTCAAAGGGGGGAGCTATACCTGCTAGTGTAACTTTAGAACACTTCAGGTGAGACCACTGTTTAGTTTTCTTTTAACCAGAAACATGATTCAATGTGGAGAGCACAGTTGCAATAGTGATTTAAAAAAAACCTATTAAAAATACAGCAAAAGGGGGCAGTTGCTGTCAAGATAACAGGATGTTTAAAGTTTTTAAAACTGTTTTGGCTGTTTGATTTACCTGGATAGGTATCCGTCGATTGCCTGGATAGGCTCTGGCTCCTGAATTAGAAGAGGTGGTTAGAAAATAGATAGTTGGATAGATCATGGTATTTGTATCATTGCTGATGATGTCTGATGTTGTATATTTAACTTATTTTGGGATTTAAGCATGTCCTAACCTGATTTTGAAATGCTCTGAATGTTTTTACCACAAAAAAAAACATGAAATAGCAATTGATGTGAAAGCTGAAGTCTCAACATTATCATTAAAAACAAGCCATTTGAAATCTACAATGTGTAAGAAATGCCAGAGCTAGTTTTATATTGTCTCCAAATGAAGAGCACCATCCTGACAGTAAATATAGAGGTAAATATAACCAAATTGCATTGATCTGCACCTGGGGTTGTAAATTTATTTCACTTATGATGTGACTCAGTGTTCCCTGAATGCAATATCTGCTTATAGAGGAACTGATACCTGAATAAGGTCTAAGATGGTGTTTCCATAAGATAGCATAACATGCTGGATTAGAGAACATGTAATGCTACCTTGGATGGGACCCAACCAGATGCCTGGGAATGACCAGACCCAAATTAGAATTAAGCTTGTGAGATAAGCAAGACACCAACCCAGAGATACAAAAGATGACAGATAACGCTGAATGAGTACACAACAGCAGTTGAAGTTGTGTGAATTTGTAGTGTTTAAGTTAACTAAAGGAAATAGCTTATAACATCCTGTTAGCCTGCATTTTTTTATTTGCATTTTTGTGAGAGAAAAAAAAGCATTTGGGATTTATGTCTTACTGTGACAATAGGAAGTCATGGTGTGGTGCGTAACTTTGGTATTTTCAGCAGTATTTCTTCAGAAAAAAACCTTTTAATTTTTAAAAGCTCTCAGTTCAGCTGCTCATGGCTGTTTTTGTGCTCTTTGTCCAGGTTACCAGGCACCCGATAAAATTGACAACAAGTTTTTTGACCCCAAACATGCCTTCAAAGAAGTGGAGGTTCAGGCCAAGACTGTGAAGGAACTGGTGCCAGTCAAGAAGCCCAAGGTGTGTCCCTGTGTGTTTGTGTCAAGATGTGTGTATGGCAGAATCTCTGTGTCAGTGTGCAGGTTGCTGATTGTACTCGATTGCAGGCAGAAGGGTATGCAGATGGAGACCTGACACTATACCACCGCTTCTCTGTGACGGAGTTCGTCCGGGCTGAGAATTCTGTGGACTTCCTTAGCAAGGCCAACGAGGTGAGAAGGCTGGGGGTGGAGGACGCCTGATTGAGGGGATGGACTGTACCATACTGCCACTGTTCCCCAACTCTCGTCACTGCTCACTGCTCTCTGCTCTCTTCTCCTCCTAGATCACCTTCGACAGCCCCGAGCTGGAGTTTCACTCATCCACGACCCCGGAGATCAGGGAGTGCTGCCGCGACATCAAAGTCCTGGGGCGTAAGGACCTGCGGTAAGAACTATGCACACACTTTGTTTAAACACCCTGCACAGTCCCTCTGCGTCCTATAGACACGCCCCACACCCCCAATACTCTCAGATTGCTCATTCCCTACGGATCCTGTACTCCTGCCCCACTCCCACAATACTCTCAGACTCTGCTCCTTTCCGACGGATCCTGTACTCCTGCCCCACTCCCACAATACTCTCAGACTCTGCTCATTCTCTACTCTGTACTCCTGCCCCACACTTTCAGTTATACTGACACTCCATAGACACAGTATGCTCACACCCCACATCCACGGTTATATTCCTACTGTTTCCTCAGGGCTCTGCTGGCTTGGCGAGGCAAGCTGCGCCGGTTCTTGGCAAGACAGCTGAAGGAACAGGCCAAGCAGCTGCACCATGAGATCAGGTATCTGCGTTTGCTCTTAGATTCCTGTTTTTAGCAAATAGTATTTTATCAATGAATTTTGTTGGAATCACAGCGATGTTTGTCAGTCTAACTCCCACAAACACCTCTTTCTCTTGATCAGTCTGAGCTCCAGCGAAGGTGAGAGTGAGTCAGAGGAGAAGAAGAGGACAAAAAAAGGTACAGAGCAGATGGATGAAGAAGAGGCGGAGGACGAAGAGATGGAAAAGCAGCTTGCAGAGGTCAAGGCTGACGAGGTGGCCGAGCTGCGCCGGTAAGTTTTGCTCGTGTGTCTTGTCAAGTTTGTGCCTGACTAGTCTTGTCAACTCGTACTGTGCCTGTTTTTGAACATGCTGAAATCTTGTATATGTTGACACTGTGTTTACTGACACAGCGATGTTAACATGGTCTGTTTGATTGTTAACGTATTATTTGTATGGATGTTGACATGATCAGTGTGCCCGTGGTGACGCGGCCTGCGTGCGTGGTGTGTGCGCCCATGGTGATGCGGCCTGCGTGTGTGATGTGTGCGCCCGTGGTAACGCAGTGTGATGTGCATGCCTGTGGTGACGCGGCCTGCGTGCGTGATGTGCGCGCCCGTGGTGACGCGGTGTGATGTGTGTTGTGTGTGCGCCCGAGGTGACACGGCCTGCGTGCGTGATGTGTGAGCCCGTGGTGACGTGGCCTGCGTGTGTGCTGACACAGGAAGAAGAAGAAGCTGCTGCGAGAGCGGCGCAAGCAGCGGGAGAGAGTGGAGCTGAAGATGGACCTGCCAGGGGTCTCAATTGCTGACGACAACGACTCCAGCCTCTTCTCACTGAGCACCATCAAAAAAGGAAAGGTACAGACTCCCTGGGGCGCTGAGACTGGACACACACACTGCCGCTGGCGCTGTGGCACAGACACACTACCACCCTGGGGCGCTAGGGCTGGACACACACAGAGACACTGCAACACTCTGACAAGACATACGAAGTCACTGACTGACGCACACATTGAGATGCTAACATGCTCGTGTGAAATTGCTTGCCAGCTATGTGATCTGTGGGTTGCAGTACATTCTTTCTCTCTCGTCCTCTCAGGCTCTTGGCGAGATTTCCAAGGGGGACATGCAGGGTGCTGATGCAATCTTGCAGGGGAGAGAGGAAAATGAAGAGGACATGTACCTCTCCGACCCCGAGAGTGATGCCGTCTCACTGGCCTCTGACCTTGACCCTGAAGACCTGAAGGAGGTGGAGCAAAGACAGAAACAGCTGCAGCAGAAGAAAGCACCTCCTAAAAAGTACAAAAACCACTGTCAGTCCTTCACAACTGCAATCATGGCACTGTAGAAAACGATTTGAAAATGAACAGTGGCCTCGGTGTTTGTTTTCCAGAGTATCGTTCAGGGATGAAGAGGAGGAGGATGAAGGCAAAGGAAACGAGCTGCTGGTTGACCTGGAGAGTCAGAGCGAGAGGAGAGAACGTGAGACCGCCCTGTGGTTCAGTAAGGTGTGTCACACAGGGATTAACACACAACACTGCTTATTATAATAACCTTTGGAGGAAGGCGCAGGTTGTGAAAGAAACCTTGCCTTAGCAAGTTTCCAGGAATCCTTCTGAACCCTCTTTAGTACGTATTGTGATTGTATTCGGGTCTGACCTTTTTGTTTAGATTTCCTGACCGCCCTCTCTCACCTCCCTCTGCAGGATGCTTTCTCAGAGCTGGACCTGGAGGCCGATGCCGAGACGGAGATCAGGCAGACAGAGCAGCTGCGTGACCAGCAGTTCAAAGGTCGGTTTCTGTGATTGACTGCAGGGGGACATGGTATACTCGGGGGGGGGGATCGACTGCAGGAGCAGTGTATCGGCACCGTGCTATGTTCTGCATGAGCTCAGCTGACAGAGGTTTGCTGTTCAGAGCAGTGAGATCAGATCTCTTGCTGAACAATGTGAAGTCATCAGCTTGGCTTTGCGATTTTCCTCTCTTCGCATGTGGGAAGTGTGAGTTAGTGCATAATTCATGAGTGGTCTGCAGATTGGGTAGGGCCGTTGTTAAGAGGAGCATCAGAGAAATGGAGGGGAATAAGTCTGACCACTCACCCCCCCCACACGCATCTCAGGATGATTTATTTGTGTTCGAAATTGCATTGACCAAATTTGTATGCCATTAGGAAGACTGCTCGTCATGTCTAATGCCTCCCAGGTGGAGGATTATGGCTGTACATCACACTGTATAAAATGGGTGTAAATATTAGTCTTCTGCATGACCGTCTGCATCTGGTCCTGCAGGAGGGACTAGGCCAAGCTGCTGGGTTCCAATATTTTGCACCTGGCGTTGTGATCGTTTGAGTTTGGCAGAGCTCCTTAATCATGTGTGCTGATTCTCAATTCAGGAAAGGGAGGAAAGAAGAAGGGCCAAGAAAAACAGGCACCTGCCGAGCAGGGAGAGGATGGCCCTGCACAGGGAACACCGGAGCAGGTCAAGGACGAACATGTGGAGGACGAGGGCAACAGCGACTCTGATGATGACACCAGCAGCAGTGATGATGAGAGGTCGGGAGTCATTTCCAAAATGCTTTGAACTGCACTCAGAGTTGTGTCTGAGTGGATTGCTGCTGGCACAGCTGGTGCTGTATTCAGCCAAGAATGAACCTTTATGTGTAGGGTGTGCAGTGTCCCAGTCTGTTGAATGTGTAGTGTGTTAGTACATAGGGGTGTGTGTTTTTTAGGGTGTCACTCTGTAGAGGGTGTGTGCTCTGTAGGATGTCTGTAGAGGCTGTGGTAATGTAGTCTCTCTGCACAGGGAGATTGCCCAGATGAAGAGCCATGGTGGAGCAGGGCAGTCCGGCCAGGGAGCTGCGGAAGATGAAGATGGGGAGTTTGAGGTGGTCCCCGTTGAGAGCACAAGTGAGTGACCGTGCAGGACCCCTGAGGGTATGGATACTAGTATTTCATTGACATTACTAATGCTTGGAAGAGAACTTAGAGGTTAGAGCTTATGGTAACAAAGAATCACTTTGAGTCTGACTGGGCATTGCCGTGATCAAGGCCTTGGTGCTACTGAAGATCGACAAGCGATTTCTTTCTCTGAGAGCCTGTCTGTCTTTTCTTTAGGTAAGCGTGCTCGTATCCTGGACCCTGAAGG